GAAGAAGGAGAAAAACGAAAACTCTCATCGCAATCACTCCGCAAAGAAGATCTCCCCAAGGCGACGGATCTAGCTAACTCACGACGCAAACCCACCCTCTGCTCTCTCTTGTTTCTCTCTCTACTCTCTCTCATCACGGCGCTTGCATTATATTGTATCTTGTGTATTCTTTTTTATCTTTCTTTATTTTGGTGCGAGTCTCCAGTATTGATGTAAAAGAAAATTTTGAATTCTCCAGCGAAAACTCAATGGACCATAACTCATTCATTTTACATCGGATTTTAAAATAATTTGCAGAGAAAAATCATATTTTTGTGATCTACAAGATGATATCTATTTTGATATTTTTGTAGCATAACTTTTTCCATCATCTTACCACTGTCATATCACGATAGTACTACTGACAATGGTATGATTTTCATATGATAATGATATAATGTTGGTATGACAGTGGTATGACGTTATCATGCATGAATTTTTATGTTTGAAAAATTAATTTGATAACATTATATCAGTGTCATATCATGATATTATCACTGGTGATATGAGGTCTTATGTTTGCAAACACGTAACAAAATGAATATCATTATGTAGATTTTTATTAATTATGGTGGTATGATTGACATGATGTTGGCATAAGGTCTTACATTTTTGCAAACTAATTTGATGAATTCATTTTTTCTATAAAACACCATAAAATAAGTTAAGATTCAACTCCTATAAAGATGAGCAAATTCTTAATACTATTGGCATTGAGTGGGGGACCGGATCCCATGAGTAATTGATGGGTCAATAACCCATTAGTAACCCCTTCCCCTAACCCCATGTGTCAGTTTTTTTTCATTTAAATTAAATATGGAGCGGTAATAAGATAAAATTGCACATTCCAAGTTGACGTTGACTTTTGACCAGACGCGGATCTCATTCCCCGCCCCACGCATGTTCCCCTCTCTCTCACTCTTTCTTTCATTATTAAATAAAAAATTACATGATTTCTTCTCTGTCTCCCATCTACAACAAAAATGAATCTAACTATCCTAACTATGCCTGTGCTCACGAGATGCAAGACAGACGAGACGGAAATTTGGCTTTCTCGGCCACCGGTCATTTTATTCTCTTTAATTCTGAAAGATTGCAATGTAGTCACTCAATTTTAAATTTTGAATGCAGATGAATTGTCAAAAAAATTCATGATTTTTTTCAATAAATAATTCAGTGCTAAAGACAGTAATTACAAATATGAATATGATTATCACTTTCTACTATCGTGGTAAAATATGGTAAAATATTTTGAAGAAAATTACAAATCTAACTACCATACAATACCACATGGTATAACGTGGTAAAACATGCTACTCAAATTTAAAAATCCATATAGTATAACATGCTAATTTTTTTACAAATCTAGCTACCATAGAATACCACATGGTATAACGTGGTAAAACATGTTAAAAAAATTTACAAATCTAATTACTATACCGTAACATACCATATGGTATAACATGCTAAATTAAATTACAAATCCAACTACCACCACATGGTATAACTTGGTAACATACACTACAAAAATTATAAATCTAACTACCATACAATACCACCATATTAGAAAATGGTAAATCGAATGACCATAAATTAATTATAATTATCATATAATACCACATGGTAGGAGAAGGTAAAATCATATAAAATTTGTAAATCTAATTACAACCCTCTACGACACAATATATATATAATTTCTCAGAATTGGTGTTGATTATCATCCAATACCATATGGTATAGTGTGGTAATATCAATATATATTATCTAAAAGAAAAAACAAACAGAAGAAGGGAGAGAAAAAAATTAAACTTGTCTTCCTTCTCATATAATTTCCTCCGCAGTCAAGAACACCAAATTCCAAAAAAAGGAGAAATATCGAAATTGTCGCCAACGATTTGATTAAGAGAAGAAACGAAATGAAAGGGGGTTGCTGCAATTTTTATTTGTCGTTTGGTGGAGAAAAAATGAAGAATAAGAGAAGGAGCAGATCTAGATCTAGAGATGGAGATTGAGAGAGAGAAAGGAAGATTGAAAGAGAAAGGATAGTTGCACAGAAAAGACTATTTCTCTCAACTCCATGAAAAGTCAGTTTTTTTTACAAAAGATAATCATATATTGATTGGAAAAATAGGTAGTTACATCCTGGAATTCAGCCAGCCCGATAATCAAAGTAACGACTCATAGTCAGATACAAAGAGAGGGCTTTTCGAGCCACCAAATGGGCTATCCTATTGTTCTGCAGACCTACAAATCACACACTAAACCCCGGATAACTGGCAAAACATTGAATGACCTCTTGAAGATCCCTGGCATCAGCTAACATGATCTTATCTATGACCACTTTAGCATCCCCCTCAAACTGCACCTCCATGAACCCATGATCAAGGCACCAAATAACCGCCTCGCGGAGGGCAAGTACTTCCAGTACCATAGGGTCATCGATCATGTTAAACTGGACCCATTAGCAAAAATGATCTCCCGGGGATGATTCATAATAACCATCCCGCCAGCTGAATGCGAACCCTTCTTCGTCGCCCCATCCCACATACAAACCGCTGTCAGCGTCCCATCCAGACTCAACTGGTGCACTCTTGGTAGATCTGAGCTGGCCTCAAGGTACTTCATTGAAAAGTCAGTCATTTAATTTGGAATAAATTAAAAAAATATAAAATATAAACACAGAAAAAAATGTCATTCCCCACCTCGCATCAAGTCCAACCGCACAATGACTCCGTCCCTTAGATCAACGGTTCCTATGTGATTAGGGACAGTGATTACTAACTTGATCCTACTGCCACGAAAATAAATGAGCATTTATGGACATGTTTTTAGGTCACCTACCATCCTTCACTCAATCCGAGAGGGATAGAGCGTAACTTAAAAAAAAAAAACCATATATGGTGTATTTACCCTGGTGCTAAATGTTTCACATCCATCCATGAATATAATTAAAGTTAGATGAAGTTACTGTTACATAAGAGATTGACTAATCTGTACGGTAGAGTTTTTTTTTTCCTTTGGCTAACAGTCAGCTCTCCATCTTACACGTGGCTAGCTAACAATTTATTTTCACACATGGCTAACCTTTGGCGTCCGCTTCTCTATGCCTGGCTAAGGTTTTGGATTAACTTTCCAACCTATTTTCAAGCTTTAGGAAATCATACCGGAGTTATAACAAAAAAGTGAGTAGTAGGATATTTTGTACTAAAATCGTAGTTTAATCGTGATTGAACCATTTTCTAGAACAAACACCGCTACCGTTTGGATCCGGTATCTGGTATTTCTTGTCTAACGAATCGTTACGGTAGGATTTCCTAAATCATTTCTCGATTTAGTCATGAGAAACCCGCTCCCTCACATTTGCAATGGCCTATCCTCTTCCTTGGAGGAGGGGAGGATCCGGTTCAGATCCTCACCATCATCGTCCGTCGATGATAACAAAATCATCCTTCATAAGGTGACCATTTTTTCACCGACCTTCTCCACCTACGTCATCTTAATTGATGAGGATCCAATTCTAATCTACCCTTTCTTCATAAGGTGAATTCCTATCTCTTCTGTACTTAAGTGAAACTAACCAACTTCTAATTCAAAAAACAAATTGACCTTTTAGTATTTAAGAGTAGGTACAGTACTGGCATGGATAGTCTCTGCTAAGCTACTCATCCATCAACCCTTAATTGGTTTCTTTGTTTAGTCGGATGGTGTTGCTTGAGTTAGTGATGTTGGCTGGGGCAGCTGTCTTTAAAGAACCTTGAGATTGACAATGAGATGAGAACAAAAAATATAGGTACAATATGAAGTTATACCATAACGTTAAAGGTACAATCTTAAGTTGTACCTTAAAGACAAAAACCTATAGGACCAATACTATATAGCATTGTAAAATTCCTAATAGTAGTAGATACTTATGCGCAATGATACCATAAGAAAAGAGTTGAATGAAATTCGTTGTTATTAAATTTGTGTAAGATGAGCTTACATAGACAATATTAGGAGTAGGCATCTGATTCAGTAAACTCTAATCGGATTGCATTGTTCAGAAACGAAACCTAAATCGAATTAGACACTGTATGGGTCGGAAATCGAGTGCCAAATTGATGGTTGTTGGAAATCTGTTGAGAATGAACTGAACCGAACACCCTAATTCCGCAAACCCCTACTTCCTATAACCAGGCCCAGCCCACTCATGCAGCTAGGCCTTATATCCCCCAAGGCCCACCCCACCTCTCCCTCTCGAGTACCAAAAAGAAAGGGGAAAAAACCTAGCTGGCTAGCGGGCGGCTACAACCGCTTCCTTGACTTCTTCCCCCTAATCTCCTCCCTCCCTCCCTCTGCTTCTTTACCAAACAAATCGATTGATCCCTACATTCTCCTTCACGATGCCGTAGGGAGTAGACGACTCGGGGGAAGCTACTGGGTCAGTTGTTCGGACAAACCCGAACCGAACTCCCAATATTTTGGTTCGAAACAAAACCAAACCGAAACCTATATTTCGGGCGGAATTCGGCTTCGATCATATGAGTTCGGTTTTGTTCGGGTTCTGGCACGGAAAACCGAACTAACTGAATACCCATGCCTAGATTGAACTGAACTGGACTCGGTTTACTTAGAGCGCTTTCATTAGAATATTAGTAAGGTCTTACCAATCAATGTTATGTTGATTGGGTGCTTAGTCATAGTTTAATGAGAGAGATGGCGTGCCACATTAACCTTAAACTAAGAAAATGTTAACGGTAGAAACTCAATAACAAAAACCAAAAAAACTATCATTGGAAGAAAAAAAAGGAAGAAAATTCAGAGACTTGGACACACCTATTAAATTTAAATATAGCTCCCAAGGCCCATAGATACTGAAGTAAGTATCAAATTTGGTGGCCCCCCCACAGGACCCCGAAGTTGCGAACATTAAAGTTCCACACAATTGGGGTAGTATATATAGAGATCTGAACCCAACCGACCACATTATTATATTTCCCCCCAAACACTCTTTTTCCTCCTTTATCATGAACAACGGTAGATTAGTAGCTCCTCATCGTCGTCACGACTCTTTTTCGCCGCTGTCCACGTGGGTTTGCCATCACAACCACGATGAAGAGAGAAGCCGCAGCTTGTACGTGTGCAGCTTCTGCAGAAGAGATTTCAGCTCCGCGCAGGCGCTTGGCGGCCACATGAACGTGCACCGACGAGACCGGGCCACCTTGCTCCTCTCCTCATCCAATCATAAACTCCCATCACCACCACCACCTCCTCCTCCTTCCTCTTCTTCGCCATCTTTGACTTTGACTAATCACCATCGTTATCAAAAGCCTGCTCCAGCTACAGTTTCTTCTCCTTCTGATCAGCTTCTGGGTTCTCCTCCTCGTAAACCTATATTTGTCTTCCCTTTCTCCAACAATGGGGCCAAACCGACGCCAGCAGAGAAGGGTGGCGATGGAGAGGAAATGGTTAGCTTGGAGTTGGGAATCGGGTGGAAACAAGAAGCTGCTGCTGCTGCTGCTATTGCACTGCCAGCTTTGGATTTGGAGCTTCGCCTACGCTGCTCCACCTAAATATAAACCATTTACAGTATTTATTGCATTTCTACTACGTACCGAGTTTCTTTTCTGTGTGTTTGCTAAGATCTACTGATCCTTTGTTTCGTATTAGTTGTATTATTAATTAATTTGTTTTGTTCCTTCCCAAACGGTCGAGTTGCGGTGTGGTCGATTGTCAAAAACAATATCTAGGAAGCTATATAACTGAAATGTGAAAACCACATAATATTATATTGTTTTGCAAAACACTCAACTGTGAGTTACATTGATGGCACTATTAGTACTCATTAGATTGCTACATATATCTGATGATAGATATGTCAGCTCTTTCTTTTTCTATCTGCTCCAATTCAGATTTTTTTTTTATTTCCTTTTTATAGTTGGTTATGTATGAGAGTTATTTTCTAAATTTGTTTGTGGATGTAAGGAAAAAGAAGTCATCTAAAATATATCTGTTGAATGAATGTGGATTAAATTGAATCCTAATATGTCTTATTAATGGTGCATATACTTTGGGTAGGTCGAGTTTCAACAAAATCATTTTGCCTGCCTTTGGCTCAATGTATTTGTAAATATATGATGCATGTTATTTATTTAAGTTGCATGTTATTCATTTTTGCTTGTCATGAAATGATATACATTGCAAATTATTGTTACATTCCACGCATATATTCATGAGATTGTGGTCAAAGTGGGCAGAAACGCATATAAGTTAAATTCAGTTTTATAAAAGTCACTTTCCAAATAGTTCATGTCCAAAATATTATAAAGGTCATAATTTTTATCCCATTCAAAATTTGATCTGTGATTATTAACATAGAGTAATCAAATTGTGAACAATGTTGTTAAATCGACTTACACTGTAACTCTTGTTTAGCTAGTGGTATGACCCGATCAAGGTACAACGGATATATGCCGTTTCATGCTAATTTTTAAAGAAATATGTATGTGAAATGATAAATTATTAACCCTAAGTGAATTATAACCTATCTAAATATAATATCCCAACAAATTACATATAAATCTAAATAAAATAAAATATTAAAAATAAAAAATTCATCATATTTAAATACAATATATAACAACAACATCCAAAGTCCTATACTTGACTTCAATAAATATCATAAACATCAATATTTACATAAAATACGATATTTCAAAAAAAATAGTAAATCTTATATTTAAATGTGTAATATTTTACTTAAATAAATTCACCAAAGCAACATCATTTTGTTCAGAGGCAAAAAGTAGACCATATCGGTCAAATCACTGGTTTTCCCATTATTGACTGATTTTAATTGTATCTACCACCCTGAAATATTTCACCCAGTCAATGTCCAATATAGATTGAACCCAATTAAACTTTTCATCACACCAATTTGACAACCATGGTGTTGCCACAAACTTTTAATAACCATCTCTGTATTTCACCTTTATGGCCACCCTATGTACCGATAACCAAGGCACCGGCTGGATTAATTAAAGTTTAAAATCAAACTAGTAATTAATGGGGTCCTTGTTAATTAGGTTAAGTGGAAGACAATGTGGAGGGAGGGTAAGGGCCGGAAGAAGTTGGGATTTCACTATTCACCTTATATTGGATAGTTTCTAAGGAAGATTTGATTACTTGGAAATGACTGTTTTAGGTGAACTGTTGAGTCTAAAGACCCAAAGCCAACGTCTCGTCGAAAATTCACAACGAAGCTCGATCCGGTCAGTCATGGTAATAAGATGGTGAAAAATGGCTCGCCCGCTCCATTAATGTAATCATCAATTATACGACCCGAACCAGCACTCATTATTCGTACGTTCATCATTTTGGTCTCTGCAAAAAGGTATGATTGGTAGTACCAATCTGACGCTTTGCAAGTTCCCAACAAACAAGCATGCCCGTATACACGTGGTGACATTTCCTTAACAAGAAACTCATAGTTTGCACTGTTCATCCCAAAGTACAGCACCAAAAATTCCCTGTCAGTTGCTCCTTTCGTGCAACTCTGCAAAGACCAGGGCGATAGCTTTAATACAGTGTACTGTTCATCTGGTCTCTTTTGGATTAGGGAGTACTGTAGAAACATAGAGAATGAGGTCATGGGATACCGAAAATGTTCAGCTCTGGAGACAGTGTTTCAGAGCCTGCCCAAGTGCATGTTTCCGTGTAACACATAGTACTAATGGCGATGAGGTGAAACAGGGTGAATGACCAAAAGTAGGTACTGCGCAGCATTAGCATTAATAATAAGGATGGTTTCGAGTTGTTGGAACCTTCAATTGACCAGCAATTCAATTTCTGGTCGCGGCATGACAAAAAGGTTTTGGGAAATTTTGTGGAAGATTATAACAATATGAAACAAACCTGTTAGTAAAAATAAATATATAATATAAACCTATATGAAAAAAAAATGGTAGAAACCTGCCATTGATGGCTTAATTTTACCTGCATAGGCAAAACTTTTGCGTTTTTGACATTAATAGTCACTTTTTGAAAAACACACAGTTGTAGCCACATTTTGGAAACTCGTTTGACAGAATTAGTTATTTCCGTTAAAAACTATAACACGGTTAGCAAGACGTTGATGTGGATGCCACCTAACCTCTCAAATCAACTCCAACACATGTCCAGCTAGGCTCGCCATGCCACCTAGACGCCAACACATGTTGATAGAAAAATAATAATTTATCATTATTATTTTCTATTTCTCTTTTTTTTTTGCATGATTCTCTTTCTCTCTTGTTATCCCCACCGTCAACTTCATCTCCTCTCCAAAGTTTCGATTTCTTCCTCAGCTACTACTCTCTCTTTGGGTTTTTTTATTCCTTCTCGAATGGATAATCGATGATCAACAGATTCTGCATCCAATTCTCGTTGTTCATACCTGTTGAGAAACAAATTCTGGGTTCTGCCACCACCGTCGCCGTCGAAACCTTATCGAGGGGAGTGATAGCGTCGTATTTGCACATGTTTGCCCCCTTGTTTCTTAACCATTTTAGCTCGAATTTTTGGTTCCTTGGCCTATTTTACGCTAGGTTGTGCTATTTTGTCAAATTTCAGGTCTTGGCAGGTGAGGTGGCATGGTGAAGGCTCAGGTGAGAATTACGGTCAAGTTTCCCAAATATACGATCATATTTCTCCAGCGTACAGCTCGTAGCTTTATGGCCAAGGCTAGCCTTTGAAGAATGACCAAGGAAAGCAAATTACGGGCAGACGAAGACAAAAATACTGCCCGTAACTTTCACAATACTTCCATTATTTTCCAGACGCGACTGTGGAATTCTCCGTCTCAACTTAAGCAAAACGTGCATTTTGGGCAAAATACGGGCATAGGAGAAATATGACTATATTCTTGCCCTTATTTCACCCAGTATCATGCTAAATAGGCAGATTCGAGCCAAAGGAAGGGGATTCAGATAAAAAACAGAGTTCTAAAGAGAAAGGGACAAAGAACAAATCTTAGGAGCTATTTGGAGTGGATTTCTCACCATTGAAGCCCATATTGCGTCTCTAGGAATGAAGATTCACATCTCAGAGCAGATTATTCTCATCTTTGTGAGTATGACTGCTTTGGTTTCTGTTTTCCTCTCTCTCTCTCTCTCTCTCTCTCTCTCTCTCTCTCTCCCTATGGAGTAGACCTTTGTCTCACTTGGGTATGAAGAATCCTAGTTCCATGTGTTAGGGATCTTGATTGTAATGACTTTTGGGATTATATATTGATTGATTTTAATCGATTGAAGTGTGTTTATTGAGTCAATTGAAACTTCATCAACTTCTTTTGATTTCTTCTTCAACTTGAGATAGATAGAATCTGATTAGGTTGTTATAGCTTCTTCAATCGATAGGAGTGAATTGATTGTACAAGAGTCAGTCAATTCACTATTTTGTAATGGAATTTGTTTCCAATAGTGGAGTTCTGTGTGATTCCACACTAGTTTGTAAGAGGGCTTCGTCAGCTTAAGAGATTCCACACTATTTTCGGATATTCCACAGTTTAATCAACAGTGAATCAACCAAAGGGGAATTACAACTTGAACCTAACTAACGAGCTAGGGGGACTCATCCCCGAGTGAGTCTTCTCTTGCTTTCGAAAACCGAACAATTTAATGCTTTCTTTCTGTCTTAGTTTAAACTCATTCTCACTCAACTTTTCCCGCTAGACAATCGATAATCACAGAGTAGGCAGTACATCTAGGCTCCGGGTTGACTTTTATGACTTGATCCCACTATATTGAAATTCCATTATGCGATTAGACTTGGTCGCAGTTTGGTGTTGTGTCGTAGCGAGTCAAGTTTTTGGGGCCGTTGTAGGGAACCTCTAGGTTATTGGGGCAACGTGAAAGTCTGTTACTTTAGCATTTACTTTTCAGCATTCTCGCTCATCCACCAGTGTGTCTTCAGAGGTTGTGTTTGCAGACTGTGTGCAGGTAATGCATGACTCGTAGCCTGTCGGGAGTTCTACTGCCATTGGACCAGGAGCTTGAAAAGACCTATCGCAACTTTAAGAGAGCTTCGATCGCTTAAGTTGTTATCTACCATGCAACTTTAGGTTTTAGGTTTATTGGAACTACAAACTAACCAAGCAAAGAAAAGTAAATAAAGAAAAATTCTAACTAAGGGAGCTTCACCCATGAATTGCTTCCCCCCTAACTAGCTGCCATGACTAGTTGGATTGAATGAAGTCGTTAGGCGTAGGTGGTTGTGAACCTCGTGGGTGAGAACTAGTGATCAATCTGTCACGACATCAATTCACTAGTGATCAATTTGTCACGAGATCGATCCACTCACCAAGTCTAGGGGAACCGCTAGGAGAAGCAACTAGCGATCCATTTGTCACAGGATGGATTCGCTAGAGATCAATTTCTCACAGGATCGATCCTCTCACTCAGGCTCCAGTGGTTGCCTAGGTCTCTCCCTCAAACCAGGGTTTGAGCGGCTTAATCACATAGAACCTAGATACAAACTGGTAACCGTGTACCATAGAGGGATGCATATGTGGTCGAAGACCATAATCTCAATTGCTAAACCGAGGAAAGCATGAAAGGTCGTGTCACTCGAACCTCTCGGTTTAGACAATCGGTAGTTGACTTACTCTTTCACTCAACTCATGGTTGGACGGCTTAATCACGCTTAACCAATTTGCTTAATTCAACATTGAGGTTTGCCCTAAATTAACCTAGGTTAAAGTGGCTAATTAGATTGCTAGCACCAACACGCACAAACCTAAGGGTGCTAAGCACAATTATGCACAACCCTTAGTTTTTTAAGCACCACAATGCACAAACCTAAGGATGCTAAGCACAAAACATGCACAACCCATAGATTGCTAAGCACGGGCATGCACAATCAACATGAATAATACCTTAATCCTTGAATTAAACACTACCTAATGACAATCATTCAATCTAAACAAGTAATTACAAAGTATTAGTTAGGTATCTACAACACCCAAGAGAAAAGAGTGAGTTTCTAGAGAGAGAGAGAGA